TTTTGAATACTGGTACTATTGTTTCCTAGCTAAGTTACCTGTTCAAGATAATATATCCCCTCTTTTCCTCAGTATCCTCAACTATGAAATTGAAATGGTTAATGATGCCTCTCCTCCTAAAAATGTTACAGGGGTTAAATGGGATAATAAAATAGAAAGTACTTAGGTATGTAAGTAGTCAATATTTTCCAGGTTTTATATGTCATTGTGTTAAAACACACACAAAAAAACATATTTCTAAATATTTATATAGGAATGCAGTCGATATTTTAAAGTCTGGAAGAATAAATGCCAAACTAGTTTATAGCAGGTCACACGGAGAAAGACAAGAGAACAGAAATACAGAGTTTCACGTAGGTGTGCCAGTTCCAATTTTCATAATGAAAACACATTCATGCAATCTGTATGTTAGCGGTTAAACTAGCTCCACTTTTCCCCATCTCTTCCACGCTAATGATAAGCCAGGGCAGCAGTGGCATTTAAAAATGTGATTAGTTGACCCACCCAGACATTAAACCCCAGAAGAGACAGAGAAGGGAGGCTAATATCCAAAAGATAAATTCCCAGCATTTCCCATGAGCAGCAAGTACAAGTATCACTTCCCAACCCCTCACAATCACTTGATTCGGCACTGATGCAAAATAAAACAGTAAATCTCAGATACAAAAATGAATATAATCACAAATAGGTGCCAAACCCCACAAGCAAAAACTAGTTAATTGCCAGAATGAACAGAAAACATTCCAAAATAGTACATTAAATATCCTGAAAGCGTACTGTACCCAAGTTGATATAAAAGGAAATTAATTTTAAATATTAGAAATTCAAATCATGAGCTTCATGGACACAGCTGAAGTGAGACACAGTTAATCAAAACCAAATGCTCTCTCAAAATACTATACAAAGGAAAACAGAAAAGCTAAGAGAGATGGAGAACACACCCAGAAGCAACAACTTTCCCTGAAGATGAGTTTTAGGAAAATAAGAACTGAGAAGAAAAGAAAATAAGAAAAACCAATTCAGAGTTAAATTTAAAAATATATATATACTTTTTCCCTAGAACAGGGCTACTAATTACAAAAACAGACTAAATGAAACAAGCAAAAAAACCTAACACCTAGACATACTGGGTTAAGATTTCAGAAAACCAATGAAGAAATACTAATAACTTAGAGTAAAAAAATCATTTAACCACAAAGGAAAAAGAATTAAACTGACATCAGACTTGTCATCAACAATACTGAATGCTAAAATAAACAAGAGAATATCCTCAAAGTTCAGGGGAAAAGTTATTTTTAGCCTCAAATTCTACTGCCAGAAAAACTAGCAATCAACAGGATAGAGAAATAAAGATGTTATTTCTGAGCAAAGACTGAAGAAACAGACCCTTGCTAAAATAATTACACAAAGATATAGTACAGATACAAGACAGCAAAAGACCCTAAGAAATTGGAGGAATGCTCCAAAAGGAAACATCAATGCTCCAAAAAACAAGTAAAACTCATGGGCTGGCTGAAATTGAAGATCCATCACCTTCAAAATAAATATTCTGGAATTAAAATCTCAGATAACCATAAGATGGGAGTTAACAGATATATGGGTTGTGAAATGTAGGGCAAAAATAAAATTGTCAGCCTAAAAAAAGTATCTGGTTTCAAACTGGGTAAAGTGACAAAAATATCAGATATGCATTATAAAACAAGAGACACACCCCATAACAAAATAGCACAGAAAGGTTAAAAAGTTAAAGGACAGAAAAACAATACACTATTTAACATGAAAAAAGGAATTCAAATAGAAAATCATGTAATTGGACAAAAAAAATATATTTCCTATAGATAAAAGGTACAAACTACTAAATTGTATCACTTCAAATCATATAAAGCAAAAACAGGATTAAAAAAAGTCAGGAAGAAATTAATACATCCACAATCAGGGCTAAACACACCAATCTACAGATGAAGAAAATGAAAGCAGTATAAACAATGCATTTCTTAATCAACATGCTAAAAAAATAGAAAGATAGAACTGTATGTCCATCAAACCTAGAACATGCATTTTCCATGAACACATCTGACACACAATATTGATCACATATGCAGTGACAAGGAAATATTAATAAATTCAAAGACAAAAAAAAATCACACAAGGCCACATTCTCTGGCCATAAGATAACAAAGTTAGATGAGCAACAATGAAATGAGAGGAAAAGGATCTCCTTATAAATTTAAAAGAGTAAAAACTCTTTTGGATTAAGGAGGAAATCATTAAGGAAATGACAGCCTTAAATGCACATATTAATAAAAAAAACCCACAAACTCAAAAATGTTAGTAAAGGAGGAAAGGTATTACAATAAAAACAGAAAATTATGAGAGAAAACTCAATAAAACAGCAACCATCCATAAAACCAACAGCCAGTTCTTTGAAAAAAACTATTAAAAAGTGGAAAATATATCAAGGAATATCAAAATAAAATATAATAAACAATGTAAGAAATTATTAGAAAACATGTAACTACAAATATAAAGCATTACAATACATTGAAACAATGGTTCAAATATCCAGGTATATTAAAGGTTATCAAAGGTATGTGTGAAAAATACTAAGGGATTTGAACTTATGCAACTAATCAATAAATTTCATCAGTGCTAGGTGGCTGCCAGAAATGTCAAAACAAAGTTAAACTGCAGACCCGAAGCACACTAAGGGAAGAGAGACATTTTTTACTATTACATTTATTTCTGAGTGTCCCAGATAAAGAGGGACTCAAAAAACAGTAGGACAAAACAGGATGATCAGGCCAAAGAATGACCTAGAACAACGTGTTGTATGAGGAGTAGTTGGGAAAATAGAGGATATTTAGCCTAGAAAACACAGGTGAATTCTAATGACTTTCTTTAAATAGCACTGGATCTATCATGTAAAAGAAATACAGAGAGAAACGGGCAGGTAGGCAGGCAGACAGACAGACAGACGGACAAATAGACGGGCACAGAAACAAAAAAATGAAAGGCCAATACCACCTCAAAATCAACAAATGTTGATTTGTTCAGATGACTCCCCCCAAAAAAAGGAATTGCCTTATGAAATTAGAGACTCTCCCTCCTGTCATTAGAAATGTTGAAGCAGAAACTAGATAATTCTTGTTAGAAATAATAAACAGAAGATTCCTGTGAGAAGTGTGATGTTACTTGATCACTTAGGTCTATTCCACTTCCAAGATTTTAGTATTCTACATTGTTTGCTAATAAATTTTGTTACCTAAGAGGAACACAAAAACTAAAAACTCAAAGTTTATCCCAGACTTTTGAATCATTCACACTCAACTCCAATAGTCTCAAAGATTACACATCTTTATCCTCAAGACATTTATTACTGTCTTACATGCTTCTCTTTAGGGTTACTTGTCTATATAGAAAATACTCTTCCATGTACTTTGCTATGACCCCCAACTGAATATTTATTGAACTGCATTCAATAAATTCCTCTGTTTTGGTCTAATTCCCTTGCCTCTTTACCTATAAATAAAACCCCATCAGTCGGCCTCGACTATTCTCCTAATCAAACATTTTCCCAATTAATTGCTCTAGAGAAGTGTCAAAACTTCCCAAATGTTTCAGAGATGTGTGTTCTCCACAAGAGAAGCAAGCCCTTCTCCCAATCCAATAACCTGCAGCACATAAAGCAAAATTGGTACCTTTCTACTATAACCATTTCTCTAATCCTAGTGAAGCTGTTTACTGAGATGAAACACATACCCACAAACAAAACCTAAGCAACACTGTCAAAAGACAAAAAGAAACAGGTTGTCCCCCTGATGCATGAGTGTGTGGCTTTCATCCATACTCTAGCTGGCCTCTAGCTTTTAAGTACCCGACTATGTAGTAATAAATGACCAATGGCCTTTCAGAGAGTCTAGAGAGCTCGAAGCCCCATCTAAAACTAACACTTCTAGGTTGCAGAAAGATCCTGCTGTTCAACTTCTAGAGAGGAAGGCAAAGAGCAAACAACTGCCTAATACCATCCCTTTCCTCCCTTACTTCTCTAAACTAGCCTCATTATCACCCATTGCTGTGTCACCTACTCACCCTCATCGCCCCAAATATATCAATCAGTAATACATTTTATCATTGGCCATACTGATATTAGCAGACACACATACTTGCATTTCTTTATAAACATAAATCTTTATGCCTTTATAGTATGGTTATATATTCTTTATGTTGTATAGTTTCTTATTTTTATTTAAATTAGATTACGGTTTTCTGTATGCAATTTTTCAAGCATACAAAAAATAATATAATAAATGATAATAATTGCTTCTTGCGACCCTTCATCTAACTTAAAACATATTAAAATAAAACTTCTAATACATTCATTTTAGTTTCAGTCTTAAATTCACTCTGTTAAAATGGTGATAAATTTAAGTATGTGGAAATGGAAAGGATAAAGGTAGAACTAGAAAACTTGACCATGTTATGTTCATAAATACACACTGTCTAATGTATGTCAATGAACCATTTGTGAAAACAGAAGCAGTCAGATTTTGATGATGAATTCAAAGTGGTACATTTACACTAAAACTTTATAGTTAGTAAGGTCATAAAATGTCATTTCTCTGTGTATACCAGTTGGTGTCACTACAACTGAAAACACAGTAACAAGACTATAATGAAAAGAGATCTAAAACTGATTTCTATGTAATATGAACATATTGTATGCATGAGTAATGTTCATATATGAAGCCCGTTAGTTCATTTCAATACAAACCTGAGGAAAATTATAAAAAGTGAAAATCATTTTTTAAAAGACCAAATCCAAATATGGTATTCTAAATCTCCTGAGAAATTTACATTAAACAATCTACTAACCTTGGTATGATTAAAATTAAAACCAAACAGAAAAACTTCCCAAAGGTGAGAGAGAGATAGACATAAGGCCTGAGGGGTCAAGGGTGGGAAGTGGGGGTGGTCACAAAGAAAGGACCTTAATCTCTTACCTGTGGGTAGCTTGATACTGTGAAAAGGGCTTCCTCTTCTGTGAACCACTGCTACTTAGTTCATTTGTATAAACATTAAAAGCTAATGCAGACTTCTAGAACAGCCTTCTTGAGCCTAAATTCCTTGCTTGGTTCATATTCATAAAAAATTAAAATAAAAAAAAACAGGCATACAGTAGATTGGCTACATATTAAAATTCCTTTCAAACAGTGGTTCACATCTGTTGTATAGTTTGTGCAGCAAACATCCCATTAACCACAAAAGCCAAAAAACGTCAGACAGTATGCCAATGAAGCTCACAGAACACACAAAGTACATCTTCCAAAGGACTGTTGCAAGTGAAGATGCCTAGAATCAGAATTCTTTTGTACTGCTTTCTATTCTGCCAACTATTAGGACTGCAGCAACTGTGTGCAGTTAAGTACCTCCCACATATTACCCAATAGTATCAATAGGCATAAAGCTATAAAAGCAGAACTATAAGCTTTAAAGGCTTATAGCTTCTCGTAATTCCACATATTGTCAGTTGTGGAGGTCTCAGTACTCTTATTCTAAAGCATCAACTCTGTTCTTTCAGTCCAAAAGGCTGAATTCTTATACATTCCAAACAGAAAATCCATGACACATATTATTTGCTGCCCTAGCACAGCCAGACTGCAGTTACAGCTAGCTGGCACCAGTAAGAACAATTTACATAAAGCAGTCCTCATTTCATGACCAAACTAAAGGAGAATACTGCTGAGTAAACCCTCCCCCATTCGTTCCCCAACAAGCACTGACTGGTTCTAGAATATATCTAGTTATGTATTTATCAATATGATTCAAATCCAGGTAATAAGAGAAAATCAACTTACAATTCTTATGTAACTGAAATTCTACTTCCACCATGCCAAAAATATTTCTAACACCCAGAGATATCCAAAAGCCTTAGTTTTTCTGTGGTATAGATCAATATGATTACATAAATCAAAGAATTGCTATTTTTAATAATCATTAAAAATACAAATTATAATTCACATTAGCTAAAAGCTGTCCTCATCCTACTCCACAGCCAACTTTCAAATTTTAACTAATAGCTTAAATAGTAAATGATCATTAAATACATTTGTTCTTAGAACCACACTGCTTTACATTTCACCAAATAATAAGACTTAATGCGTCTTCAAGTACCACTGTTACACATATTTACCACTAGTTAATATTACTAAAGTTTTTTTATAAACTCAGACATGGTAAATTACAAATATCTACACAAGAACATATTTTTTCAGTGGCACATTCTTGTTTAACCTAAATCATTCTTGTGCTGGTTTTACTGGCCAGATATGACTGAGCAAGAGTTGAGTCACTGTCTACGAAGTCCTTTGTTTAAATTTTTTTCAATAATTACCTTATGATCTACTAATAAATAATTCGATATCTTCACTTCTATCTTTCCACTTATTTTAGTGGGTATAAATATATTAAATTTCATTTTCAAATAAGTCTGGAAACTAGGTTAGTGCATATCTAAAATGATAATAAAATGAAAAGAAGTACTTAATATGCTAACTAGGGGTTATCCAAAATATGTTTATTTTTTAATCTTATTTTCAGCTGTTTTAAAACAGTGTTCTTAAACTATCTCTATATCTCTATTACACAATAAAGACAATGGGGCTCTAAATTAGGGGAAAGATAAAGTTATCATACATCAACAGGAATTAGTAGACTTCTAATCCTAAATATCTAGGTTTTCTTTGATAAGCAATAATAGAGTTTCTCAAATATTCTCTTTTCAGAATCTGTGCTCCACCAGCAGCAGGAGGAGAAACAGGGGCAAATAAATATAAATAATATGGTATGATTCCACATAATATACACTGTGTAAGGAACATTTGGCCACTGATCATAAAATCTCAGAATTGGAAACCATCCAAGTATTGTATTCCTTCCAGTTTTAATTTTGTTAGATGTGTCGTCCTTCTCTCTTCCTACTTTATGCATCAAACTCTTTAAATAAAAGTACTTGAAAATCAAAGAACCTAAAATCATTTAGACCAGCATAAAATATAACGTAATTAACAACTATTTTTTTAAAGCTGATTAAGTTAAACAATCACCTAACAGTGAATTAATCATAAGAAGTTAAATTCTCTACAACCTGCTTAGTAAAGAACCAATAATGTTAGTTATTATTCTAACTCAGTGCTTTGCAAATTAATAATGATAAATAACTAATGTTTTATTTCCAATCCATCAAAGATCAATACTTTTGTAAATACAATGAAAATAAATTACTTGAAAAGTGAAATAAAGAGGAGGTATATAAAATATATGCCTCAATTATTTTTATTATTTGACACAAGTGACATAACATTACTTTATCAGATTGATATAAAAATTTCTAGACACTCATAACTTCAGCTCTAATCTCATGGAAGACCAGAACACACAAAAACTAATCTGAACTGACCTTGAACTGGTTCACAGAGCACATTTTGGCAGTGTTCACCTAGCTATTCACTACCTATTCTATCTTACCCCCAGGATTCTCAATCCCTTGGTACTTTCACCTACTCATATTTAGTGTCTATCTTCCCATTTCTCCTGCCCCAATGTAAATTCCTTGAGGCCAGGGATCTTGTATGCCAGACATCAAAACAGTGCCTGGCAAATAACAGGTACATAATAAATACTTGTGAAATTTGTTGAATCAACTGATCAATTCACAATCCATTTTTGTTTTCACTCTATCATGCTTCCTTAGCACAAATAAGAATTCTTACTGTGTCCTCTATGAGCTCTTTAAAGTCCTCTCTTTGAAATTTAAACACCTTACTTTCTGGCATTTTTACTGTAAATCAGCCAGACCCCTAACAACCCCTTACCCTAAAGATCATTTTCTAAAGTATCCAAGTAGTCCAGATTTCTCTCCAATTACATAATGTTTGAAAAACTAAAACAAAAACAAAACAAAAACAAATGTGCCAGAGGGAACCTTGTGAAGAAAAAGTAACCAATATTTACTAATAATTTGTATCCCACACTGCACTATGTACTTTATATATACTATGCTCATTTAAATCCCAGTATCAACTCTGTAAGGTAGAGACTTTATTCCCATTTTAAAGATAAGAAAACTAAAGTCTGAAAATAAGCAACTAGCTTCATCCCATAAAAAATAATGCATAAGACTTATTGAGCACTTATGGTAGACATTACACTTTGAGCATTATATATATATTTCTCATATAAACTTCTAACTAGTCAGTGAAAGAAAATGAGTTCACTTTCACTCTGATCACAAAGTCTGTGTTCTTCCCTGACTCCTTATCTAATCCAAATCCAACTACCTCTCTCATTTCATGGTTGCAGAATGGTATAAGAGCATAAGTAATTTATCCAAAACTATACAATTAATGGCAGTACCAGACAAAAATAATCATTTCTTGACTTCCATACTAATAGCTTCCACTATGCATGCCAGGATACTTTTTGTCAGCAAAGGAAAACAACAGGTCACATGACTCCTGAGTAAGTAGCACCTGGTTTACTACAAGGAGGGTAGAAGTCCTTTGGCATATGCAAAAGCCACTCCTCAAACATGGTATTAAAGTCCCTCCTTTCATTAAACTCAAAGGATTCACTGAATCAGTAACATGTTTTCATCATTTCCATATGCACACATTAATGACTAAGAACAGACGGTTACAAATTACTACTAGAGAACTCTGTGGAAGTTCTAACCTGAGAGATTAAAAAAAAAAAAATCCCTTATTTGAACAGACTTTAAGCTTTCTCCCAAATCACTATCTCTTTTTGAAGTGTGAAGACTTAGGAAAGCAGGAGAATAAATGTTTCCTGTGCAAGTTAAATGCTTTTGTAATTTCCACTAAAGTTTCCTCTCTAACTTAAAGCCATTTTCCAGAAAAGAGTAACATTTCCCTAGAGTTAGCAATGTCATGATATTACATGAATGTTAATAAGTTGGCTTTCATTCTGGAAAATGTGAAATTCAAAAACACATCAAATCATGATCATAAACAACCATGTTTTCTGGATCATTAATATAGTCTCAAAATAGTTGAGACAGTGAATGTTATATAAACAGAAGCAAACTTTTAACAAAAATAAGTCTACGATGGCCCTAAAATTAGTCTAGTGCAGTTAAGAAAGCTTTCTACTAGCAACTTTCTCATTTTAAGTGCTAAGATTTTTCAACTCAACAATTTAAACAAAAATCTTTTATAAAATGTATTTTATTTACCTGGTCAGTAAACTGTATATCTTGAATATATATCTTAACTTTTTCTTTTTTAATATCATTAAAAACATCAAAATGATAAATTTAAAGAAAAGAGGACTTATTATCACACTAAAAGATCTCAAGGTACTCCTGTTTCTAATCAGTATTTCTTTAATCTCTTCACTTTCTTTCTATTGTCACTTTTTGCTAATGTCCCTGGATCTCTTCAATCAGCACCACCGTACTCTAATACAGAAATCAGGACAAGGCAATTAGCAAACGTGCCACACCTTCTAACGAGTAAACTGTCTTCACATATGTGGTCTCTCCTACCAAGTAATGCGGGCTAGATTTTACTTATGTTTAATTTCTTCTAGGTTAAAAGATATATACTAAATATAAAAGGCTGTCAACAACCTGTCAAATAACTAGGATAGGGATTTAAAAGGAGTTTACAGGGGCCCAGCAGGTAATGTAATTAGTGAATAGGACCAAATGTGAACTATATAGTCCCTATCTGAAGGGACAGTGGCTACTCCACTGTAGATTATTTTTCTAAAGCAGAAATACATTGTTAGCAGTGCCCATTTTTCAGAGAGGAGACATCCAGATTTTTGCGTAAAATCTGACAGTTTTAACGACTGGACAAGTAGGACAGCGGCTAAAGAATAAAGTCTGTCAGCTGCCAATTTGTGGCTACTGAAAGAAAACTCTACTGTTAAGATCCTCACGTATACTGAAACACAGAAAATTCTAGGCCCTGAATTCAAATCATCTCTTCAGAGAAATTATTTTCTCAGGGTATATTTGGATTCAGCCAGACTAGAATTGAAACATTTCTCCCACTTACTCCCCTAATTCTGTAATGTCAACATTCTACATTGGCTTTACTTAATAAACATACCTGGCACTATCCACATACAGCAAAAGGTGGCTAATTTATGTAACAGAATAGGACCAGTAGTAGAAACATGAATACAACATATTACCAAGTGGATGTGGATGTACTAATATTAAAAACTTTTTTTTTTACATTTATTAATTTTGAGAGACAGAGAGAGACAAAGCATGAGCAGGGGAGGGGCAGAGAGAGGGGGAGACACAG